CCGATACCCCTCGCCCGAGAGACTATCCTCTCGAAGCACAATGCGCTGTGTGTCGAGGAGTATCGGCGACCATTTGTTTCCGCCGCTCCCTCTTACAGGTCGGGAGGTACTTGGTATTCCGCGGCCCGATTGCGCCCGCCGGGCTGGAAGCGCGGGGTATCGACGCGAGATTGGCGCCCCGGAGGTATTCTGAGCGCCGCTTTGTAAACGCGCGCCAGCTGCCCCCCTCGCCCCGCGCAGCTCCGCCAGGCACAAGGGCCACAAAAGAGTCGGGCGGGAAGCTGTCGGCCGTTTCCACGGCAGGTCGGGGCGGCGGGGTCACGGGGCGTCGTCCGTTGGAACCCGGGGAGTGGGGCGTCTTCCCGGGGAGGGGCATACGTATGGCGACCATTTCGTGGCCAAGTACTGCCCCCACCCCGCCCCGCCGAAGAGAGCCCCACCTGCAATCGGCTAATGGGCAGGAAACAGTCTGCTCCAGTCTCGGCCGGCCGCGGCGCCCCACTCACCCGGAAGTGGGTCGGATTCCAGCGGCCTTCTCTCCCGCTACCGCAGCTGCCGCCATTTTTTTTTATTTTTTTTTTCGAAAAGGACAACGAGCAGTTGAATGGACCCCAACATTCCAATAGGAGCCTGTAGACACGTCACCCCCTCTCTGCCCCCCCCCCCCCCCCAAAGACAGACACTCAGAGCGCCACTCAGGGGGCGAGAGAGGAGGACAGGGCGGGGCAGCCCCCACGGCCCCCACGGCCCCCGACAAAACAATGGCGTGGCGTGGAGTGGGGCCGAGTGGACCCACAAAGCGACGCGGGTGTTTTCACACCCCCGCCCCGCCCCGGCCGTGCAGCCGCGGCTCGCCCCGTGGCCGCCATGCCCGCGGCGCTGTTCTGCCGTGGTATTCTGCCCCTTGCCGCCGCCGCCGCCGTGTCCCAGCCGCGCTGATTTCCTCTTCATGTCTGTGACGGCGCACCAGACTCATTTCATTCGTTTCTGCTCCGTCTTTCTCTCACGAGCCTACCCCCCCCTCCCTCTCTCTGCCCGCTGTGTGTTTCTTTCACCCCTCTTGCTGGGCGGATGGAATGCCCAACCCGTCATAATGGGGGCGTCGCGCAGCCCGATAGATTTCCGCCCTCGGCTCTGCTCGGCTCTGCTCGGCTCTGCTCGGCTCTGCTCGGCTCTGCTCGGCTCTGCTCGGCTCTGCTCGGCTCTGCTCGGCTCTGCTCGGCTCTGCGATACAACACGCGGATCACTCGCCATAAATCACGCTTAGGTCGAACAGCGCATCGCCCGGCCCAGCAGCAGCCGCCCCTGTTCATGGGCCGGGTGCTCTCCTCGGGAATCTCATGGGCGCGCGAGTATAGAGTAGGCACATCCATGTCCTATCAGCGCTCCCCGCCCTCCTCTCCTCCGCGGTGCACTGCCCCGCCCACCCCCCGACGGCGTGTGCCGCTCCGCGGGGAAATGTGTTGGGCCTGCGGGGCCTCTTCGTGTTGGTCCGGACCATCAGCCGCGGTCAGACCCACGGGCCTCCCCGACCGAAAATGATTGTTCGCTAAACGTTTGCTGTTCATTCGCCATCGGTACGCGGAGGGTCGCGGAAGGGACGCTAACGGGTCGTCAGGGATCGTCACTGTCCTCGTGGAGGACTGAGCTCGGGTCGCCATCGGGTCGCGGTGTTCGCTCTGGAGCGACTTCAGTTCACATTTTGGTCGTCATATTCGCTTTGAAAGCGACTCGAGTACGCCCTTTGTTCGCCCGGTGCGCCCGAAAGGGGCCGTGGTCATCGGGTTATTTTCCTTCCTAGGAAACCCCGGCCGGGCGCTGGCGCTAATCCCCAGACCGGCGCACTTGCGAGCAGAGAGGGGTACGATGGGGCAGCCCCGGGACCCCCGGAGCACCTGACGGCTCCTCCGCACTGCACATTGCACACTTTGGCAGCTGGACACAGCGACGACGCCAGTCTACGAGTGCAAGTCGCAGAGAGGATGCACTCGTAGAGAGAGGACGAATGCTTTCGTACAACTATGCACATACGTAACGTACGCTTACGCACAATTTGAAGCGATATTATGCATAATTACGTACAATATTGTTCAAAGTTACGTACATATGTTGTACGTAGGTTATGTATATTGACAGTTGTACGTGCCTACGCACATAACAGGACATAGTCAGTGCCCGACGCAAAATGATTTTGTTCGCTGATCGCGAACAAGGGGACTTCAGTACGCTTTTAGGTCGCTCGCGGTTCGTCGGCAATAATCTTTTGGCCCGCAAAGCCCCGAGGCTGGCCGAGGAGGGACCCCGGTATCGGACACGATCCCCTTACCGGCGAACTCGTGGTCTAGTGGTCAAGGCGACGGGTTCCTAACTCGGAGGACCGAGGTTCGAGTCCCAGCAAAGGTAAAGTACTTTTCAATTAAATAAAATTACTACGGTGAAATAGAGGAAGAGGGAGGGGGAGGGGGCAGGGAAAGGTAACAATCGGTAAAAACTACAAAGAAAATAATTTCCTTTTTGGCTATCGGAATGCCGCTGCCTACCCGCCCCGTACATCTCCTACCCCCGGGTACTGCCCTACCCACACCCCCTACCCCTGGCGTCGTCCCCTGTAAACCAAACCCCCAGCTGCAGCCCCCCCCCCCCCCGTCCCCTTTTGCACTCGCCCCTATGACGAACGTTAGGCGCATCTTCAGCGACCTTATTAGCGCACTGAAAGCGAACCTGTGGCGATCAAGGGGCGACCTGAGCGGGCCTCCAACTGGAGTTCGCTTTTAGTACGCCAAGTACGTCGGGCGAACTCCAAAGGTCGCGTAGTGGGACTCACGCGACGTAAGCGCGAACTCGGGCGGCGACCTACAGCGAACTCTTAGCGACTTCGGCAGAGGGTCGCGCTTGACTCGTCAGGACGAACTTATCGCGCACCTTTAGCGTACAGAAAATTTTGGGTCGGGTCTTGTTGTGGGTCAGCACACACACGAGCCAAACAGAGAGGGAAAGCGGGTCTCGCGCACTGGGAAAAACAAACTTGAACGCTGCACCCTTCTTAAGGCACTTAAATGACCCAAAGGTGCTAAATGTTCGTGCAAAAGCACTAAGTTCCTGCCCTTGTTTTTCCTGTGTGTTCTAACTTTACATGTACTGTGGGGATGGGGATCGAATGGCAAAAGATCGATCTCGTGGATCGATCTGAATCGAAAGGGTTCAAATCGATCTACCTATTAATCGAGTAAAAAATTCGATCTCTACCAGATCGATCTAGATCGAATAATTTTTGTCGAATTCGCCTAATAAGATCACATTTGTTAAAAATTGAACATTTCGTGCAATATAAAGAAAATATTCTTCTTGTTAGTTGAACTACTGGACACTAACACTACGAAAACTAGACAAAATGCCAGCGCGCCGCCGCGAAAATGTTACCGGAAGGGAAAGGAAATCAAAATTTCGTGGTTTTACTATAGGGGTGAATCGATCCGAAGATCGGACGTCTGCGAATCGATCCAGCCGATATCACCTATCAGCGAGATCGATTCAAAAGATCGAAAATCGAACCTTAAAAGATCGATTCTAGCGAGATCGATTAAAAATCGCCCATCCCTAACTGTGATAAGATTTGTCGGCTGTAGGTGGGAGTAGTAAACGAGGGGAAGGACCGGAAGAGACTTAAGCGTGCTTTTGAACTCAAATTATTTCGCGGTATGTACCACTCACGCTTGTGGCGTGTGGTGTGTCACTGGCCGGCGGTTGGTGATCAGGAGCCGTGGCGCAGGCCAGGCGTACCTTCCTTTGAGAGCCAAATTATTGGCCACAGCCTTGTCATTCTCCCCTATTGGCGGCGCGGGCTATAGGAAGCCGCAAGGACCAACTTTTTAATCAACTACGGTATTAGAATAATCAATTAGCACGTTGCTCCGCTATCCTTTCATTAATAAAA